CATGTCGGCCGCTTTGCGGCCTACTGTCGTCGAGTTGCAGCGTCTTTGCTACTTTGGCCGGCTGCACTAACGATGACCTCGTGCGGCCATCGGCGGCCGCATGAGGTCACTTTGGCCGGCTCATGCGGGCCTTGTCTTCTAGCTGGTATCGATGCGAACATGTCGAGATGCAAGAGAACCCGAAACGGCCAAATTGAAAGAAGGTGACAATAACCGATTCATGGCCACTAAATGTATGCTACGTTGCGTTCTATAGTTGGCCATGGGCCACGGTAGACGGATGACTTAGAGTAAAAAACGCAACACTAAAATTTCCTGTTTGAAAGCGTCTCTGATGAGATTATGGATGTCGGTTCAATTTATTCTAGCCAGCCATTCCAGTGGTTTGTACTGAAATCTAGTGTTACGTTTAATATGTTCAAGAGTGAACGATTGTGCATATAGTAGAAGAGAAAGGGAAGGCGAAATAGAGCGCGACGTATTGAACATGTTTCACTCGTCTTTCATCATAGCGCATTAATTGCGTTAGAACTGTCGTTGACAGCTTTAGAGATTCGCGGCCTATAATGTTCAAGCCATTCATGGGTCCTTCTTTTCGCCTAATACAGGGAGGCTCTAGGTAAGAAGATACCCACCACTCGCCATGCGTATCCTAAGCACCAACTGTTGGATTTGACTTTATCTGGTGCATTGAATCGATGCCTGAAAATGTTAGGTAATTGCGACCTGATTTTATGGGAGCGGTTTAACCTCGTTTAAAGCACGATTAATGTTTAGTAATCATTCTAATTTTTAACATGAGAACTAGCAACCTGCAGGCAGGCTAACTACGCTCATGCGAAGTAGACAGCGGTCTCTCTTCACGTAGGGACGTCGTGCCGATGCGTGCAATTGACCAAATAAAACTTTGCGTGTGCGTAGAGAGTACGCGTTGGTGCCCCCATTCTGCGTTGATTGCGCGAGGTCATTTAGCAGTGGAACGGCCCCCTAGGAGCGCTCCCCGGAATCGCCAGCGGCCGATCAAAGTACCCCCGGCACCCCTAATGGGCGACCTTGGAGACTCTGGCGTGGCAGAAGATGCAATCGCGGAAGGAGCTGTGGCCCGCTAAACCGGTGTGAATGAAGTCGCGTCTTCCCAGTTAACCGTCGCGGCAGTCAAACGAAAATAAACCGAGCAGGCGCGAAATATATATGAAAGTTTCCGCAACGCCCCTTCGTCCTTGACCGACGTTCCAGGATGCCAGAAATAATAGGCGGGAGTGTGTTTTTGATAAATGTGTGGCGCACATGTTTCCCCGGCGTCGCCTTCTCTGGTCGCAGATTCGCGAGGAGATAAGAAAACAAACTGTTTTGTTCGTTCATGTTTCTCGAATGGCTCTTTACTATAGGCTGCGGGATTTTGTTTCTTCGCTTAATCTCGATTTCAGATCTTCACCGTGTCTCTTTTTGCCATTTTCGGGCAACCGTCTGTTATTTCTAGAGGCTCTCCACTGTTATCGGGATTTTGTCGGTGTAAATTAAAGTAGCCCCTAAAAATCGCCTTTTGGGGAGTCCCGCGGGCCTGATGTATGTATGTAAGCTGAAATATGATCCTCACTATTCGTAGTCTGAACGGAAGTATATACCTTCTCTGGACTTTGATCTCTTTCTGCATTGATTCTATACTTCACTTCACCATAAGTCAGAGCACAAGCAAAGTTACAGGCCGATGGGTACGACCAAGTAGCACCAAGAGCGCATTGTCAGGGTGTTGGTCACCTTTCTGTGCCTCTGCCATCATCGTCTAAACCAGTCACGTGCACTTAATATTCCGTGAACTTGCGCTATCGATATGCATGCTCGCATTTTTATGTCTCGTAGCTTTTGACTGCCCCTGACTTAAGGCGAAACGAAGTATAGGTGCGTAGGCTCTAGACGACGTGGATTGACGGCCGTGATCCTAAAGGCAGTTTTTGCTGTTCGATTCTGCTGACTTCAGGATACTTAGGCGACATCTCCTTACTTTAACGGCAAGGGTATGGCGCGTTTTAGTGGTTCGGGTGATTCATTCTCGCTCGAGAGCAAGTGCGATGGTGGGAACACGATGGAAAAAGGCGGAGGTGTCTGAACGGCGCCACCTCACGATGGAGCAAGGACGGTGAAGGTTCGCTCGTATTTTTGACTAACTCTTTGAAACACCGCAGCCCGTCGGCAGGGTAGCAGAGGAAGCCAGTGAGAGCCATTCGATGATTCGTCTTTATTCGCGCACACAATTACAAGACCGCGCGGCGGTCACGACTGCGCCTGCGCGAAGTGTCGTAAACCATAGCCTCCTCTATACGGACAAAGCCAGGCAGATCGCCATGAGACGCGGCCGCTGAAAGTGAAAAGGTAGAGCGGCAGAAACAACGGATGAGAGGAGAGTCTTGTAACGGGCGCCCCGCCGCGGCGAGACGCCGCAACACACTTCTCCCGAGTGATGGAATGTCCGCTCGTGTTCCTCGCGTTCCTCGCACGTCCTCGCCGCTGCTAAAGCTGCGCGCTCACTGCCAGCTTCCCCGAGAAATGCTCTGTGCTACCAGATCCTCGCGCTCCAAATGTGCGACCGGGCGTGCTATGGCTCCGTCGTAGGACTGTATATATTTCTCACTGTAAACTAGAACAACAAATTGTATACGGTGAATGGGCCCTTATGTCAATTATATATGAAAAAAAAAATTCGAATGCTATATCTTACGAGCACTATAGGAAGCGTGCGATACACGAATTGAGCGCGCCGATGCAACTGATGTGCTCGCCAAATAACTGTTGGGAGCCGCACCGCGGCGCCAGTGTCTTATCCCACGCTTCCCGTGATCAGTCCGCAGTCAATGAGATTGCGGCGTTACTCATTAAAAAGGCCGAAAAAGGAACCAGGCCACGCATGAACACAATTAGGCCCTCGCGTTGTTACTTTGTCAATGGCGGTTCTTTTTTTTTTTCTATCTTTGTGCGTTGCTAGATTCCTTTTTCGGCCTTCATAGTGACTAACGCCACAATCTGATTAACTGCGTAGTCATAATGGGAAGCGTGGAACAAGACAGTGGCGCCGCGGTGCGACTCCGAACAGTGTCATTTGGGGTGCTCAATTAAAAAAAAATGTCGAAGTAGCCCATAATAAAATGGAAAGCGTGCAAAAAAAAAACAACAAAAAAAAACAAGGAGGAAGAAGAGGACACGTACGACAGACGAACTCGCAACTGAAGTTTTATTCAAACTTGGGAAAATACGAACATAGTTCCTTCCGCCGGCTGCGCATGCGTCATTCAATTATCTCCCTCCCCCCCTTTTCACCGGTTCTAATCTAATTGAAGTAGCCAAATGTGTACGATTCTAAGCGCTATATTTTAGGCGGAAACAAAATAATACAACATGCGACGCATTTCATGAAAACACGGCATTATGGTGTAGAATGATTCAAATAAATTTTTAAAAATTCAGGTGCGTTTTTTTTTTTTTTTGTTTTGCCCGTTGATGTTGCAGGCTTTTGTACCTTCGGACATGTTTCAAGAACTGTAATTATTTTCTTTATAAATTAGAGTACCTAACTAAACGTAAACGATAGACCTTTATGGGAATAATATTTCTAAAAAAATTCAAATGGTTTATCATAAAAACACTACGAGATAATAAATGACGAATATACAGTAAAATGTCAAAGTTGTCAGACTTGTAAATTTTTGACTCGCGACATCGTTTCCAGAATTGTATAAATAGTTGTGGGTGTTAGAACTTTAGACTACTCTTTTTTATAAAAAATATCAGATTTTTTATTTGTACTTCGCCTATCGTGTGCCGCCAAATTTGGCAAAGATGACAAAACTCAATAAGCGAATTGCAGCTTTGATGCAGTCTTGATTGTTTTTCTGGATATATATATATATATATATATCTATATATATATCTATATATATATATTGCTATAACTTGTAAAGTAAATTACAATAATATAAAAAGAAATCTCGACCGGAGACGCGTGCATGATCTTCTCTGAACAGAGCCTAAAGTAGATGTTCCGAAGCAAAAATCTAAAGCAAATATCACTACCAAGGTTCGTATTCTGTTAATTATTTTCATCGTTTACCTCGAGTTTTATATATTGATGAGGCGAGTAGGGGTGGGAGCCCGTCTACCTACGTACCCAGCATATGTGCAGGCGAGTTCTCAACTGCCTATCACTGTCCTTGCTTATTGCGCGCTGTATCACCGAGTTGGAATACCTGGATAATTAAGTAAAATGTCTCTTTAGTTCACTCTGTCGTTGCCAGTAGGTCACCGGGGAAGAAACCGCCAATTATATTTATGGAGGATTTGCTTAACGGTAGAGGCAACTTTTTAGAGCGGTGGTCGCCTACTGTCGAGAGCCAACAAGATTCTACTTCGCCTCAGTGAATTCCTAGAAGGATCAGAAACTAAGTCAACTACACTAACGCTTTCTGGTTTTTCACGCCGCCAACGGAGCAACGCCGATGCCGTACGAGCGAGGTCTACCGGTCGAGCGTTGCAAACGTCCGCTCACGTCCTTACAGAACCTGTCAGCTCGGCAAGACGTCCTTGAGAATTCTCGATCGCCTTCTGCCGTTGAAGAACCCGCGAGAGACGAAAACAAATGGCCGAGCTTGAAGCGGGAAAGTCGTTCGTCGGAAGGTTCGTTGCGCAGCGACAGCCCCAGCACCGGGAGGAAAGAAAAAAAAAAAAGAAAAAAAGAAAACCAAGCAGCACAAAATGCAAGACGGGAGAAACGTTGTAAAATGCACACAGACGCACAGACCTATATACACACACACACGCATAGAACACACACGCACGTCGCAGATGATATAGAAATACCGAGCAAACATCTTGGGCGAGGGATGGGCAAGGTCGGGTTGTTTAATTGGGCCCGCCGTTCCTCCGTGGTCGTCTCCGCATTTTTGTTTTGCGGCTGATGTGTGTTGTCGTCGTGAGGCGCCTGACACCGTTTCGCTCTTCTCTGCTTGCAGGTGCTGGCCGACACCCCTCGACGTTAGGAATGAGGCATTGAACGCGGTGAGTTTGTGCGACTTTCCTCGCGAACTCGCCGAGTTGGCACGAAGCGTGAAGAGCAAACTAATCATACCTGATTGAAAAGTTATCTGCGTTGTCCGTGAAATTGCCCGTCTTTTAGACGGGTACAAAAACATAATTGCTGTGGTAGTTTTGCTTCACAATAGTCATTAGGATCTAATATGGTTACGAGAAGGGTGTCGGGAAGAGTGAAAACGCATCGGTATATGGTAAATGCCATGATTTTCGAAAGCCATTCGTCCGGGCAAAGATCGACATTCCTCTAGTTGAGGCTTTTCTAAGTAGATCAGGTTTCTTCTCCCACAATATACAGGTAGATCAATGTTTTGCTGACATCAGCGAAATAAGCTTACTCAAGTTCTTTCGACGTTTTCCTCTATATTATTGTAGAAATATCAAAAGGGAAACTTATTCCTAGAGTTTGAAATGTGTAACCAAGTTAAAATCATATGAACACCTCTTTTTTTAGAGAATGAAAGGCATTATTATATATGCGCTCAAGGTAAAAGACTGAATTGAACAGCATTTGGCTGCGGTGATTGGGCTATTAGGTTTTTCCATTAGTAGATACTTAAATACATTTGTTTGCTCAACGCCAGAGGTACTACAGTAAGCTTCCTGTGGCTATTGGTAGACATACTTGAGGGTCGTGTTACAAGGGTATCTTATGTTATATGCTGTGCGGTTTGCCCATGTCCCACTGAACCGCCGTGCAATACATCTGTTACAACGCTTCCCCTCTTGCTACGGAGGGTCAGATTGGCTCCTTACCGATCTTCATTTATTACAATGACACTTTCAGGCGTCATGCTCACGCGTTTTGTTGGGGTTTGGCGTGCGCGGACTATAGGAGCCATACTGCTTAAGCGACGGGATTCATGAAAATCAAAGTTGACTTTCAGGACGCCGTTCACATTGGGGACTGCATTCGGTGAACGATATGCAGAAATAACCCATAAAGTAGGTAGGGCAATAAACCACCTCAGCGCAAACTTGGAACTATGCAGAAAACTGGACGTTATTACGCCCGCCTTCTGATCACGATATACAAACGATTGATGTGACCAAACTTCTATAACCGATTAAGATAAATGGACGCCGCGTGGTATGTAAGCAGATGTCAGTTAGCGCCACGACTAAACGTCGTACTCGTACGTGCGTGGAAGTTCCTTGAACGGGATAGGATAACACACGATAAAAGAGCGCAATGACGGAATATCGCATATATAGATGACCTCGAGCTATAAGAACGTGCCCCGATGCAGCAGTTTCATTCAATGCCAAATAAATCGCATCAGCCTAAATTGTACGAATTTTATATCGTAGTCTAATAATGCCTGTAGGACTGAATATTGTATTATATTTTTCGTTCGCTTTAATTAAATCAGTCCTAATAGGTTATGTGTTGATTCTTTGAAATTACTTTCGTCGCAAAGCATGATTAAGCTGCAATTTTTTTTTCTACGCCGAAGAATCACTGCTTAGTTCACCATTATTTTAAAACTACTGAGACATGTCTGTGAACAATCTTAGAAACAACCAAAATTAGAAGGGGCAGGGAAAGGAGTCAGTGATATGGGGGGGGGGGGGGGGGGTGATTCGAACGCCGCCTGACTTTGTTTGAGGCGTCGTTTGACTTATTTCTTTAGTTTCACTTAGTTTGAGACTTCGTCTGATTGACTTCTTGCCCTGTCTCTTTTAATTTTGGTTGTTTCAAGGCTTTTTCACACGCAGTCTCAGGTATTTTATCAAGATCAATTGGGGGGCTTGTTGGTTCATCAGGTATTTTAGCATAATGGTAAACTTACACCAGCTCGCCTGCGCCTTACGGTGCTTTCAGCTTAGTGTTGTTTACGTGTTTATCGGGAAAGGCGTTTCCTTTCTATACATTTATTGGCCTTGAATTACACCACCACGAATCACAAAGCGGGACACAGTAGGACACAAACTTATTGCATTATAACTCTCTAATAATTAATTTAGCGCTGCAAAATTATCTGGCAAGTGTTAACAATCACCTTCCTAAATATAAAGTAAATTATGCTACCTTAGATTGTTAAACTTGTATATTAAAATGCCATAAACTCATTAAAATATTTTTGAGGCACGTTGTTTTAACGCCGCCCCACCAACATACGCAGTGTTATGCTGTTTCGATAGTTGTGCTGTATTAAAAGATGCTTTTTGTCACTGTACTCTTTTGACCTTGCTGTCTTATCTTGCGTCCTTTCTTGCCTTCGTGCCGAAAGTATGTCCATTATGGTTATAATTATGGCATCAATGCCTGCTTTCATTACGACCCTTACTGAGCACTTCATGATAACAACGGCACCGGGTGCTACTTCTCAGTACCGAGATTTTCTCAAACTTATCACTTCAGTTATACGGCCACCCTTATTGTGTGCTTATACGGAAATGTTTAACAATGTTCTACTGGTTACCTGCAAGCTTGCTATTCTGTCATTGAATGTACTTGTATTCTGCCTCGAGTACCTCGCCTCGTTCTTGAGATGAAGGAGCGAAGTGTCCGTGTTAGCAGTATTACAGTGCAGTGAAAAACTGCTATAGACTCGTGAAGCCGTATTGTGACAACTGGACAAAGCCCTTTTTTCTGTGCTTCTGAGTAGTGATGTTACGACAAAGGTTCACATCCTTCAAATAGTCAATGTGGCAGCCTCATCACAGCCCGGTGAAGCCGCTATGCTCAAGAATTGTAGAGCAGTCGGTGGTTTCTTACGCGTGAATTGAAATCGATGTAAAAAAAAACAAAAAAAAACAGTCCTTGAGCGCTTAGCGCGGATAACTGGGTGAGCGTGGGTGAGAAAACCACGATCAGGGAAATTGTCGTACAGATCTGCGCGCATTTCTTGGAATAAATCTTGGCTCCCCACGCACAGCGAAGGTCGAAGAGCCAACGCTAACCGGTTTCCGCTAGGCGCCCTATTCTGCGATGAAACAACAAACCAAAAAACTGAGTTAACTATAAGGCTTTCTTCTCAAAACGCCCAAGGTTTAACGGTGACAAAAGCGGGGCTTTCAAGGATACCGTACTAATAAAGGTACCGGTCTTAATGAAACGATGTAATCAGACTCCCCAGTATTGTTTCCCTTTCCTGTATTGCCACCCCAGAACAGCATTGTGTGCACGGGTGTTTTTATAGAGGTCCACTAGGAACTTGGACGATCATTTTAGAAGGTATAAGTTCTCTATGAGGTATTTTATATATTGCTTTCACGAGGTAGCTTTAGAAAAGACCCCACGTGTATCTTATTCAGGAAAAGAGAGAAGAGACATACTTAATTTGATAAGCTGTCGGTGGGCGGTTCTCGCATACTTTCCTCGCACAGACCATTTTTTCCAAACCAGGTAGTATGTGAACTGCACAGTATCATAAAGCATGACAGAAGGTCAGATGCATCAGAGCCCCGCTCATATCGGTAACTTGAGCTAAACACAACTGTTTCCTTACTGGCGCATGTAATGCTCACCAAACTTACACCGAACACGGGAACTACGTGTTTCCTTATGGCAGCGCTATCTTGATTGAAGCTGAACAAGGCTCCTTGTCGTAGCACTTCGGTATGGTTTGTTGAGCGCTACATCACCAACCCGTTGCTCGGCTGCCGCCAGGATAGCGCTCCCATGAGAAAAGACACAGTTTGCGAGTTCCGTTTAAGTTTGGTGAGCACTGTACATTAGTCCATGTCGCCAGCCGTACCCCACGAGCTGCACAGACTTAACAACGTTAAGTGTATGGGACAACAATTAAAACCATTTAGAAGAAGGTTTACAATCTACAGCACAAAGATCCGTAAAACGGGAGTGAGTTTTCGATGAAATGTAATATTGACGTGCGCAGTGCTCTGTTGAAACGCAGCTACTTGCGCAGCGATATTTTCGGGTGAAGGCCCGTACAAAATGGACTTTCCAAAAACTTGCTACTCGCTATTTGTGTACTGGCCGTTATCTATTTGAACGATGAGAGGAAAGTATCGATCCACAACATCAAATCATCTGATATAGGGCTGAGCGGACGCTTTTGGCAAGTGTTGCCATCGAAAGTTCTTGGGCGTGGCTACTAAATCAACATGTCGTGTGGACAATTTTTTAAGGAGCGGTCAGTGACTTTTTACGCATAAACCTTTGGTTACTGGTACCTTTGGAAGAGCGAACTAGTCTGCTTAGAAGAATCGCCAGCCTGTGAACTTTCACCTGCACCTTGCAGCAACGATTACCCTAACGTCATGCCAATACAGCGAACGCCCGAATAGCAACGGGATGATGGAGTGAGAAACGGTCCAACGGTCTGTGAATCAACAATCTTGTGGGCGCTGAGCCAACAACTTTCACATCATGTGACCCGAAAAGAATATCGCCGTCCTGAAATAACCGACCCCGCAGTATAAACAAGCCGAGGGAAGCTGAACTGTTCTGTGTCCGAATGTTTCTAATCTAATTTTTCAGTATGGCAGATTCTCATGAGGCCGATAATTTAGTAATCTTTATGCGTTTTGGCTCTGCCGGCCCGCATTGTTTTAGTACAACCGATGCGTGGCCTTATAGCACCGACGGCGGCGCCTCTTAAGAACTCATGGCTTACTCGTGGCCCCTGACCAATGCATATCACGTTTTCTTTTCCTTCGGTTCTAGCGACTGCCCACCCTGCTCATAAATCTAAAGATTCATTGCGTGGAGCTTGAAGTTTTATTCAGGGTTCCGCCCTCATTTGTCACAAATGGCTTTGCTCGAGCGGTCTTGGAATTGCAGAAGACAGAAGAAATGCTCCGGGCAATACTTTGTTTTTCCTGCTTCTCTAAGGTGAAACTCAACATGCCAGTTTTGATTCGGGCTTGCACTATAAATACCAGCGTGCATTTGCGTAATTACCACCGTGTGGTGCACGTTGAGCACCACAGGTTAGCTGCACTGCCAAAATTTACCTGATACAAGAACACGTTGAAATTTAAACATTTGAAATAAG